CTGCGGATGGCTCTCTGCAGCCCTTACGGGCGGCACGTGCGCCGGGCCGGGAGCCTGGAGAGCTTTTTCCAGCCTCCTTCAGCTTTGTGCTGCCAGGCAGCGAGCCTGGGACGTGAAGGCAGGGGGAGGACTCGGGCGTTTGGCAGCACTCTGCTTATATCAGAGGGGAAAAAAAGCTCGTGAGGTTCTGTTAGAATGAGGAAAAATGTGGACTAAACTTTCCCGGTGTGGAGATAAAGCCCTGTTTTTTCCACACAGCTGCTTTCCTCGTGTCGAGCTCCAGGTGCTCTTTGCAGCGGCCTCTTCCTGCTCCAGAGCAGTTTTCTGCAGCAGCAGCAGCCGCCTGCACGGCCTCCTGTGCGGGTCTCCTTCCTCCCTGGGCTGCCTGCGCGGCCGCTCATGGAGCAGGGGGACAGCCCGCTGCGGCCCCCAGCCTGGCCCTTCTGCAGCGCTGCAGCTGCAGCGCCCGGCCCGGCCCTTTCTGCAGCGCCGGGCTTTGCACTGCTGCGGGGAATGTTCCAGCTGGGAAGCTGCCGAAGTCGCTGCAATTTCAATTTGCCAGTAAATATCCCCATCGTACTAGTGACACCCAGTGTCACACCCCCCCGTGTGTGTTTTCCATCACCTGTGCGGCGTTCGTGGGCAGTGGGTGCTCGGCGCGGACCCCGCTCGCCGCCAGCCTGCTGGCCTGAGGCCCTGTCCAGCACCGGCACGGCCGGGGCGGCACCGCTGCGCTCTCCACTCATTCGTTTCCTCCCTAATGCTCTACCTTGTACAATTATTTTGCTGCAGTGAACACGCTGTGGAGTGCTGGGTTCTGCCTCCCACCTGGCTGTTGGCTCTGTGGGCAAAGGGGACGGCAAGGCTGGCCCATCTCCCCAGCGCTCCCTCACCAGTGTCCCCCCTGCCCTTCGCAGGTCTCCTGCCCTTGGCAAGGCCGCTTCCCTGCTGCTGCCTCCTGCAGTTGTGCACCCGGCGGGACGAAGCCGGAATTCCCGTCCTCACGACTCAAACCTTCCACGTCCCGAGCCACTGAGGCAGCAGCCTGGCCTTAATCACAGAATGGAGATGCAGCTGGGGAAGTTTATGTAAAAAAATGGGGAAATACCGAGGGTTTTTGTTTGCTCTAGAGGAGAATGACTGGAGCATTTCAAGGAGGAGATACTGCTATATCATAGAGATAAAGGTAGGGACACACTTTGCTCAAGGACTGCGGCTGCCTGGGCTGCCCATGCGGGCAGCGTTTTCACCAACTTGTTTCTGCTTTGCGGTGGCCCATACCTACGGAGGCAAAACTGCATTTTAGCACCTGCAGTGCTGGCTGTTGCTGATGAAAACGTGGACGTGTCCACAGACACATTTGTACTCATCACACTGAAAGGCGAATCTCCTGGCTGCCTGTTTATTGCACCTGGTGGTTGCTCTCCCAGCGTGGCAGCGGGATGGGGTGCGCGTTCACCACCGGACGGGTGTTCTGAAACGGTCACGAGGGGTCAGTTCAGAAAGCAGCTGAGGATCCTCCACCGAGTAAGGAGCAGGAGGCCCCCACTAAAGCAGTGCTGCAACTGGCCAGGTATTGAGAGGATCCGTCCAGCACAAAAATGGTGATGAAGTCGCAAACGTTGGCTCGGGGCGAGGGGACGTGGCAGCAGCAGCGGCCCTGCCGCTGGTGTCTCTCACCGCAGCAGGAGCGCAGTGGGCGCTGCGACGCTCCTGGTGCCGCGTGGTGACAGGGGACAGCGGTGCCCTCCGGAATGCGGCTTCCCGAGAGCCCCCGGAGCAGCCCCTCTGTGGGCTCGGGGCCTCCCGGAGCGCCCGGCCTTCCCAGGCACCGGCTTGGACTTTGGGGCTGCATGTGGGGTTGTCTTCCCGAAACGAAAAAGAAAATCCTTTCTCTTGTCCCAAGCAAAACAAGTCCTAGCGCTGGGCTAATTGCAGGGCTCTCTTTTCTGTCAGCATTAAGCTAATTCGTGATGTGGTTTCTGGCAAGTTCACCAGCATTAACTTCAGCTGGAAACTTGGCAAATAAAGCGTCAGCCTGAACAGCTTTTTAAACGAAAGTGTGACTTAAGTCAGTGATGGTGTTTTCTGGTGGCAGGTCTGTTGTGCTGGGCTTTTTCAGAGCCGTTCCTGCTGTCCTATCACCCTATCCTGTCGCCATGCCTGCTTGTGCCCTAGAGGGTGGAACGGGAAGGGGCAGCCGGGCCCATGGCTGTGCCGGGCAGCTCCAGGGCCGGCGGGCAGGGCAGCGCGGCGCGGCAGTGTGTCCGGGTTTCCGGGGTGGCAGCGGGTGCCGCGTTCCGGCAGAGCTTTCCCTGGTTCTCCGGCTGGGAGCTGGCTCGTGTCCCACCGCACGAGGAGCGGGAGCGGCACGGGAGCGCGGTATGGGATGGCTGGAGGGCAGCGGGATGCACAGAGCAGTGCGAGGGCCGCTCGCACCCCGGCCGGCACTGTGCATGAGGTGCCAGCCATGGGGAGCGGGATGGCGCTTCCACCGCCTCTGCTGCGCCCGGTGCTGCGTCGGGAGCAGGGCCACCGGGAGCCGAGGAGCCACCCCGGGACCCGGGCTGGGAGCTGAGGAGCCACCCCGGGACCCGGGCCGGGAGCTGAGGAGCCACAGGACCCGGGCCAGGCACGGGAACCACGAGGCAGGACGGGACGAGGCAGGAGCCCAGCCCTGCTGCGCCTTCTCGCTCACAGGCCGGGGTGGAGGCTGTGCGGGGACTGACGAGCAGAGCGAGGTGGGGAGCAGGGCCCGGCCGGGAGCGCAGGGCTCTGGCCCTGAACGGGCTCAATGAGAGCCCTGGGGTTAGCCTGAGTGTGTGAATAAAGCGAGTTATTCGGCACTGAAACTGCGTTATTTGCTGAGGTTTTCTACCAAGTTAATGACATCATTCTGTGCTAGAGTTCGCCCATTTACGCGCTCTCAGCCTTTCCTAGCAGCTGGTAGTTAAATAGCTACATTCAAGCTTTGAATCTGCCCATTGAAGAGCAAAGTTTTGACCCTCCCAAGGAAGCTGCTGAACGAGGCTTTTCAGGGCGGCGACATTCTCGCCGTGGCTCCCGGCCACATGAAGCAGCCCCTTCTCTTGGTCCTGGTGTCCTCAAACGCTGCGGTTTGCTCCAAGCTTTGGGAAGTGCCTGGCATGGTCCTGTGGCGCGGGGACCTGGGGACAGGCTGCGTGGGATCCGCCAGCTGACCCACACGGGTCACTTTCTTTTATTTTTTTCCCAAACTTCCAGCCCTTTTACTCATCCTCTGAGGATATTAGAGCTGCAACACCCTCTTGGAAATAATTATTCTATGGCCTCTTGTTTTGAATGTGGAGGGTGGGAATTTTCCAGGGAGGCTGCTGTTTTCTAAGAGGCTCTTGTGGCCCGGAGGGCTCCAGCGAGAAGTCAAAGGGAACAAGAACAATTAAGGAACTGGTTTGGCTCCTAAGCACAGAAAAGGCTTATGAGAAACATACTAAAATACCAAGAATCCCTTCTCCTCCGTGGTGCGGATGGCCACGTTACCGTGTCCGTGCGGGCTCGGGTGCAGCAGCGGGGGCTCTGCAGCGTGCCGGGATGCGGCGGGCGCTGCTCCACTCCGCTCCTTCCCCCTGCGCCCACCCGCGCCTCCCGGCCCTGCGGACCCTGCCCGGGCCTCGGGCTGCACTTGCAGCCCAAAACCAGGGAGAACGGCGAAGTAAAGCGAAGTCTAAAGCTGCCCTTTGGCTTTGTTCTGCTGTGCACATCCTATTTCCTGTAGGCCGGGAAAGTTCCGTCTTTCTGTTCCCGTCTGACACGTTTGCTGCTGGAGAAGGACAGCGTGCAAAAGGAGGGTGCGACTTGGTGTCGGGCGCTGTGAGCGGCTCAGGGCTGTCGCACATGCCTTGTAGTTAATGTTTCAGTGGTGTGGAAAGGTGCCAGAGCCTGTTGTGGAGCCCTGGCCCTCGGCTGCGTCCTGTCCCGTGCTTAGGTGGTGCGTGGGTGGCACGAGGGCTGAAGCGGAGCAGCTGCGGCACCGCGGGGCCGACGGGGACCGGGTGTCCCTGAGCCCCGTGCAGCGCGGCCAGGGGCCCTGGACCCCGCAGCCGGGCTGGGCTGGGCTCTCCTGTTTGGTTCCCCTGTGCTGCTGCTGCCCGGCAGGGAAATGAGAGCAGGGCGGCCACAGAGCAGGGGAGAGGCCGCGCAGGCTGCGGGCAGGCGAAGGGTGCGCAAGCGCCAGGAATGACTCGGGCTGAGCTACCAACCGCTGTCAAGAAGATGCTTTGCTTCAACACGAGAAGTCTCTTCCCCAGCGGGACAGAAACAGCTCCAAGGGCCACCTGCAAGTGCCCTGCGCGCGCAGCTTGGGCCCCTGCATTCGGCTCCTTGGCTGCCTTTCCATCAGGCCTGTTTGCCCTGGCCGTGACCCACTCAAAGAGGGGCTGTTATTCTGAATCCTGGTTTTGTCCCTTGTTTCCTGTCTCTTCTGATTTTCTCCAATCTAATGGAGAACATACCGTAATGCATGCAGGCCTGTCCGACAGCCCCGTGCCGGGGTGCAGGAGGGACGTGGCAGCGACCATCCGCGTCGTGGCTTCTCCGGCAGCATCCGGCCAGGGCCGCAGCTTGTCCTGCAGGGGTGTCCATGTGTGTCCATGCGCTTCGCGGGGCCGTGGCCGGTGCCAGCGGCCGCTTCCAGGGAACGGTGCCCCAGTCAGCACGCAGGGGACGGTGCCCCTGTGTCAGTACCGCGGGGGACGGTGCCCCCGTCGGCACCGCAGGGGATGGTGCCCCTGTCGGTACTGCAGAGACCGTTTCGGCAGCACCGGGGGACACCCTCTCCATGTCCTGCAGCCGTTACTAACATTGCTCAGTTTTGTGAGGGGTGTGAAATTAATGATGACCCTGGATTTTTCTTTTTGACCACATCAGTGTAATTTATTCTCATTCCTGCCATATTCCCTAGAGCTTGCCACTTCTTCATAACAGTTGCAAAAACCCCACCTTTTTGCTCTGTCCTCTTGCAGGTTACTCATCGGCAGTCCAGAAATTCTCCCAGACTCTGCAGTCCTTTCAGTTTGACTTCATTGGGGACACTCTAACAGATGATGAGATTAATATTGGTGAGTGCTCTTCCTTTTGATGTAAACTTTCAGTTACTGAGAAAACGTCTCCCTCTAGGAGTTTGCCTGCGTTGATGTTTCTGAGACAGAATCAGGGCCTGGGTTTCTCATGCAGTTTGACGTGCATGGTGCGGTGCTTGCAGTAAAAGATGCTGCTCTGCAGCACGTTTTACAGAGTTGAAGCTTTCCTGGCTGGGATGGAAGGTGCCCCGCGCCGTGGCGGTTCTGCGGAGCTTTTCCGCAGCTTTGAGCTGCTCCTGTGCCAGGACACACGGGAGTCGGAGCGCTCGGCGCCCGTCCTCGGCCGGCTGGACGACGCTCCGGGTGCCGGATTTGCTGCACCCAAAGCATCTTATGTACGAAAACAAAGCGGCCCCCACACTATCCAGGCTGCAAACTGCCAGGAAAAGCAAATTGTTGGGTGTATCGTGATGTGAAAAATAGATTCACACCTTCATGCGTGCGGAGGCTGTGGCAGATGGCTCCTTCCTGCTCTCCACATGTTTCAGGGTTAGAATTCCATGCATTTGGCTTCACGGCCAGTCCAGTAGATTCCATATAGGTTGAACACCTGCTAACCGCATGCAGAGAGTGAAAACGGATGGAGAAAACCTGGTGATGCAGCGTTTTTGCACTGCGTGCTTGGGCTCAGCCGTGGGTGCCGAGCGGAGAGCAGGGTGCCGGCCTGGGCGGCGCGGCGGGACCGCGGGATCGCGGAGACCCCAGCCCTGCTCCGGCCCCTGCGCGCGGGGCTGCGCTCTGCCCTGCCCGCGGAGGAGAGGCAGAAACCTGCAAAATTCCCGTCTTCTGTTGAACGGCGGCCAGGCGTGCAGCGCGGCTGAGGGCGGTTTGTTAGCCATCCTTGAAAGGGGAAGGAAGGAAAGCTTGTTCTTTTGCTTATTTTAGTTAAAGCAATTTAAAGCCGTCTGTGGCTTCCCCTTCCCTGGTTTCCTTTATGGAAAGCTTCTAGGTGAAACCTACTGGAAATGAGTCAGTCTCCCGTTCCAATGGAAACAGAGGTGTTGAATTTCCAAACCCATGTGAGTAATGGAGGGAAAAGCTGAGCATTATAAACGAGCCACAGATTTGATGCCAGGGTCTCACATTTGGAAGAGGGAGTCATGCTCATGGCGAATGTAAACCACGGGGGAAACAAGTATGTCCCCACTTCTGCTTTGCTTTGGGCATCTTTGTTTTGCTCTTTGGAGTTGGGTTTCCTGATTGCCCAGTATGGAAGTCGGGGTTGTGGTTCCTCCCTGTCCCTGCAATCCAGCATCTCCTTGGGTCGGAGCTGCTCAGAAGTCACCCTTGTTCCTAAACCGAGCGCAGATGCTGATAGCTCAGCAGCAGCTTTGATCTCCAGGAGGCCGCGGGAAGGTGGGATGCTGCACAGCTGAGATGCCTCCTGCAGAGCCGAACGAGCCTCCAGGGCAGGGCCAGCGCTGGTGCTTTCTCCTGCAGCCCTGGGACGTGTCCCTCACCTCTGGGTGCTGCTCCCTGCCCAGCGCTGTGGGCAGTGTGTGTGCACGAGCTCTGTACACTCGTGGGTGTGCGTGGGGAGAGCTGGGCCCTGCGGGACGCTCTGCTCCTTGGGGACACAGCCTGGCGCTGGCCGGGAGCTGCCACCCGGCTCGGCGGGGCGGCTGCACGGCGGGGCGGCCGTGAGCGCACGGGACGGCTGCGCGGCGGGGCGGCTGCACGGCGGGACGGCTGCGCGGCGGGGCGGCCGTGAGCGCACGGGGCGGCTGCACGGCGGGGTGGCTGCGCGGCGGGGCGGCCGCGAGCGCGCGGGGCGCTTGCCAGGAGGCAGCAGGGCGCTTGTGGGACCAACCTGCAGCCGGGTGCATGGGCAGCGCTGCTGCGTGTCCCTGCGCCCGCTTCTGCACCGCCTTGCCAGGCAGGCTGAGCAGAGCTGCTCACGAGGGATGATCCTGCAGCGCCCGCGGGTTGTCCAGGCCCTAAAGGCACCTGCGAGTCGCTGGTTGCTGTCCCTGTGTCCCCTTTGCCCAGCTGGGCACTTCAGTGGTGTAAGGTTGCTCCTGCACAACAGGCTGTTTCAAATCTTCTTGCATTTCATTTTTAAGTGCTATAATAATGATCCAGACCAAGCAGGTTTGCTGCAGGGCGGTTTGAGCCCGGTCGGAGAGGTTCCCCCCGGCTGCAGCAGAGGCCGAGGCGCTGGGGCCGCCGGGCACGGGAGCCGCTCCGGGCGCCTCAGCCCACACTGAGCTGCACAGCCTCTCGCTAATGCCACTTTTTCCTCTCCTTATAGCTGAATCCTTTAAGGAATTTGCAGAGCTGCTGCAGGAGGTGGAGCTGGAGAGATCCATGATGGTAAGCTCATCTTAGCTGTGCTCTGCTGTAAAGTTTGAATGCTAAATCACAGACACAACATTCCTCGCAGCTTTGGGACAGGGTTTGATGATCACCTGGAAGCTGGGTGCTCAGCACACCTTGTGCTGTCTGTCCTTGGTGGTGCACCACGTGCTCACGGTGTCCTGCACATCCCACGAAGGCGCCGGAGGGGACAGGACAGGGGTCCCGTGTGCGTCCAGGGCTGTCCCGCACATCCCGTGCTCGCTTCCCTGGGAGGGTCCCAGAGCCGCAGGGCTCTGCGAGGTGTCCCGCAGTCTGCCCCGTGTTCCCCAGCAGTAGCTGTTTGCAGTGTGTCTCCCATTAAAACGCACAAGCACGCACAAATCCTGCGCTGCTTCTCCTGTCCGTTTCGCACCCTTGTCGTGCTGCTGAGCCTGAATTCCCTGCCGTGCAGGGAGGGCTGCAGCAGCGCGTGGCCCCGCTGCAGAGCCCCTTCCCTCTCCAGAGCGTCGGGGATCCCGGCGTCCTGCAGGCAGCGGGGGCAGAGGCTCCCGGCCGGGTCCCGGCCAGGGCCGCGCTGCCGCCCGCGGCGCCCGGAGAACGTCCCGCGGCTCTGGAAGGAGCCAGGATGGGCTTTGCTGGGTCGCTGTCCCCGTGATAGCGACCTCAGCCTCATGAGCTTGGAAAGGCCGCTTGGCTGAGGACACTCGCAGCTGCTTTGCAGGAGGGCGCTGCCCAAACACCAGTGTCTGCACTGAAGGAAAAGGGGACCCAGACACTAGCACGGGTTTGCAGCTAAAATGACATTGCGGTTTAGGAGCCTGGGCTTTTAGTCCTAGCCTGCCTCTGGTTAGGAGAAAACTATTGTGTGTCCTGTAGTTAAACTGATTCCTTCTCTGTGCCGCAGGTGCAAAACGCTAGTGATTTGCTGATCAAACCTTTGGAAAACTTTCGGAAGGAGCAAATAGGATTCACTAAGGTAAACATTTTTTTTTGTTGTTCTATTACTGCGTATGGATTTTCTCCTGTGTTTTTGTTGTTTTTAAAAATACACTTGTGCTGCACTTATACTCTACCCTTTCAAAGCCTTGCATTCAGCTGCTAGAGTGAGAGAGTCTGCTGTGACTTTTAGTCTGATTTTTCAATCATGAGGCACTCCAAAACCTTTTCCTTAATTCTCTGGGTTCTCTTCTGGTGTAATTCCAGCTCTTTCTCTTTCCTGAAAAAGTCATGCTTCTTTCTGCAAACGATCAAGAAATGCTTCTTGCTTCTTTCTCCCTCCTCTCCCTTGTTCATTCCATGTTATGTGTTTCCAGCTTGAGAATAGGATACCTTTCCCACACAAACATGTGTGGGAGGAAGAATTGTAGAAGCCAGTAATCAGGACTCGAATATAGTCATAGGTTTGTGTTAAGAAGTACCTAAATAAAGTCTCTCGCAAGCCTCTCAGATGGACCAAGCTTCTAAATCAACAAACTCTAAAAAGCAAGTTCTGCACATGTTGAGCAACCAGATTATTTTTCCCTTGTCTGCTATCTAGAAGTCAAGGTTCCACGTTGCTCAGTGGCAGCTTGAACTGGGCCTGGCTCTGAACCAGCTCCGAAATGGAGCTGTTTTGGAGAACGCTTAGAGGTTGGATTCAGCCCAGCCCATCTGGAGTCTTCGACATTTAATGAATACTGCATTGAAGAAATGATACTCGAGCCCCAATTCTGCCTTCAGAATTCCTTGCACAAGCGTGATGGGAAGCGAAGAGGCCGCAGGAGCGCTCCGCGGAGGTGGCTCCGCGTCAGCCGCACGGAGCCAGGGCACGGCTGCCTCGTCGGCTCCTCCGCATGCGCGGCACGAGTGCCTGCGGCAGCCACGAGGCTCCCTCCTCATGGAGCTCTCTGTATCAGAGCAGAACCAGCAAATACTGAGGTGAGAGACGCAGGCACTGGGTGGAGCCTCTTTTCCCCACTCCGTGTTATGGAACAAGCGGTCCTGGGGCTGCTTGCTTGAGCTGGCCTGCACAGTCTGGAGGGGTTAACTTTCCTGCAGAGTGGATCTCTCCCCTCGGACAGCCAAGCCCACCTCCCGCTTCTGCGTGAAGGAGAAGCCCCGTGATGGAGCCTGCCGGTGCCCCAGCCTCTGCACGTGTTTCCTAGCACAGCTGGTATCCATAGCCCTGAGCACTGACGTGGATTCGCTTGGAAACACAATCTTCCTCAGTATCTGCTGGCAGGATAAGGTACTTTTGGTGGACGTTAACAGTCCAGGAACTTGCGTTCTGCTTTTCGGAAGCAGCTAAAACAGATGGTGGGGTGTAGGATTTTTAGAGATCTCTTTTTTTCCTCTCTGTTTTGAGGAACGTGAATTGCAGAGGTGCTGGGGGGCAGTTCAGCGGGCAGAGGGCTCCAACGTGGATTACCCGGAACGCTCGTGCCCAGGAGGGTGGCAGCGGTCCCGCACTGACCCACGTTTGCAGCTGCACACACACCCACGCGCATGGGAGATTGCCCGGTGGATGTAATGCTCTCGCTGCAGTGCTGCTCTGAGCCCTTCAGTGTTGAATGTTTCCAGATGAGTTTGAGCCAGCTCCCAGCCCCTGCCCATGCTTCCGACGCTTCCCTGCCTGCGGGCTGTATTTGCACCACTGGCCCCAGGCCCGCAAGCCAGGCTGAGTTCTGCAGGGATCAACGCGGACACAAAGACGTTCATTCATCCACTGTCTCACAGAATTCCTCCCGGCCATTTGCATCCGTGATAGCAGAGGCAGGAAACACAGATGAGGCCTTATCACAACAAGCACAGTCAGCATGGGGTCCGACGACTCCATTCCTGCCTCGCCTGACCTGAGTCAAGTTCTCCCTGCGTCCCAGGGCCAGCCTGTCACGCAGACCAGAGACGTGACACAGGGAATTTGCCCCCTCTGATGCCTTTCCCATATTTTGCCAGTTGCCTCTGCAAGATGCTTTCTGTCCGTTCTGCAAGTTGCTGAAGCCTGATAGGAAGAGTGTTTCAATGGTGTCTTTGTGGTGGCTGTGGCCGGCAAGAAGCCACATCCATGTGGCCATCCGCATGTGCCCATTTCCCAGCCATGGACTGAGCCCCCGGGCGCTGCGGTGCCGCTGGCGCAGAGCTGCCCGGGGGCGTCACGGACCCGCCACGGCCTCCGCGCTGCCGCTGTTTGCTGTGGCCGGTCCAGCTCTCCGCAGCGTGTTTGCAGCGCGGAGAGGCTCCTGGCAGGCAGAACGTGCTTTGTTTTGTCTTTCCTTCAGAACAAAACTAGCCGCTCAGCCCAGCTCAGCTCCTCGTTCCTGGGTCGCTCGGCCTCTTCCAGGATGGGGGTGTTCATAGAGTCTAATCAGAAATGAAGGGCAAGTTTTGTGCTGGTCCCTTTGCCGCTCTCCTCGCTCCCTCCCGGCTCTGCCTGGGAGCGGAGGCTCTCCTTAGCCCTGGTTGCTGCTGGGCCGACACCTCGCTGCTGTTCTCGGAGCCCTGATGCTTTCCGGGTAGCCCGAGCTCTGCATTCAGGGCAGCCCCTGGCCATGCTGGCTGCGCCCCTCGCGTCGCCTGCACGGCCCTCAGCAGCGAGTGAGCGGGCCGTGCGTGGTGCCTGGGACTCGAGCGCTGGCACATCCCCGTGCACCACTACACGGTGATGCCCTCCCCTGCTGAATATTCATGAGGAACTAATTTGTGCTTGTGTTTGCAGATTGTGCTTCAGGCTTCTCCCCACCCCCCCCACCCCCCTCCCCATCTTGCTCAGTTCTGCAGCCAACAAGCTCTTAGAAACCTTGGCTCCAAAATCAGGAGGGATTTGTAGTTCAACCCTCTGCTTTTCAGTTACATGTCAACGAGGCAGATGGCAAAGTGACTGACAGGCCCCTCGGCCGCCAGACAGGCCGTTTTCCTGCTGTGTTGCTCCGCACGGGGCACCGGGCGCCCTGCGCCCGCGGTGCTTGTGCCCCTCATGGTCCTGCTCCCCGCGGCCCGTGGGCGGCACGAGGGGCTCCCCGCGCAGCAGGGCTGCCCGGAGCAGGGCTGCCTGCAAGAAGCCGCCCCAGCCTGTCCTTTCCAGGCAAGGGCCGGGAGGGGCTCGGCTCATTTTGGATCTTGCTTTCCTCGCAGTGCGTTCCGGGACGTGCTGGCCTGCACAAACCCCTCTCCTGTGGGAGCCGGAGCAGGCGCTGGTGCTGCTGGTCCCGGCTGCCCCAGGCACCTGGTTCTGAAGCACGGGGCACGAGTGGCCCCGGCGGGGCCTTCCTGACCCCTGCTGCAGAGTGACCCTGTGATTAGGTTCCTGGCTCCCTTGCATGTGGCTTCTCGTGACCCGGGGAGACAGTTCAAAGTGCGACTTTATAGAAACGATAACTGCCACTTTGTGAATGCTCTTTGCTTCTCTGCATGTGGGTTGCTCATCACTAGTAACAGTCACAAGGGTTGGTTTGTTTTAACAGTTCTTCCTGGCATCGGTTCTTCAGCTTCTTAAATTAGGTTTCACTCTCAAAGGACTCTCTTCTCTCCTGAGCTTGATGACTGGGTCTCTTTATTCTGAGGCTTGAATTTGCCAGCATGGAGTTACAGCAAGTCTGTCTCCAAAGGATGACACCAGAAAATACACTTAATTATTCATGTTCAGGGAACTTACCATTCCTGCAGCACAGTCATTTCCAGTCACCAGGGTAAAGAGGTTTGCTGGTCGCACAGCTCAGCACCAGCAGCTGAGCAGAAGGTTGTCAGAGCACCCTGCAAGCATTGCTGCCTTTTACTGAAGTCCTTGTCCTCTGACAATGACGTGGGCAGGGATGACAGTAGCACCTTTTTGGCAGGATCTGAAATACTCTTTGCAGGGAGGCAGCGAGTAACAACGCCAGTGCCCCCTTTGTCCAAGATCCATGAGGAAGCAGCACCCGCAGCACGGGCCAGAGGACTGGGGACCCGCTGCTCCTCCAGAAGGGACCGAAGTCGCTGTTAGCAGGTGGAGATCTGAGCTGCTGGTTACGCCTGAGATCCGCTGCCCTTTCCTGATAGCCACCGTCCACGATGGATAACCCGGGGAACGTGTGTCTTGGTATCTCAAAACATACCAACCTCATACCCACCAGTGTCTCCATGTGTGTGTGTGTGTGCATGTGTGTGTGTGCACACTGGAAAATAATGTCTCTTTTTGCAGCGGGAGCGCACTGCAGCTCCACCGAGTCCGATTTCTCCAAGGGTTGAAGAGTTGTTGATACTGGAAGAAGAGCATCTTTCTCAAAGCCTTCATCCTTAGCTACCAAGCTGTCCTTCGTGGCCTCTGCTTCTGAATGTGGGCTGTCCGCTGCGTCGCCCGCTGCTCTCACTCGGAGCCAAGCAAGTGAAGATCGGCGAGCAGGAATTTGCTGAGCCCGAGTGCAAGTTCTGAGAGCCTCTCCGCATCCTGCTGCGCAGGATGTCCTGTTAGACCAAGTAATCCATGGAAGTGGAACAGGGAAATGAAACTGCACAGAAAGAGAAGTGACAGAGGAAACAGAAAAGGGCTTACTTAGGAAACACAGGCTCAAACTTTGCAGTCATTGTTGCATTAATTATCAAATTAACCACTATCTAATAGTCTGCTGATCCCCTTGTTCTGTTTTGTTTTAGTTTTTCTGGTGTGTGCTTGCTTGTTTGGAAGTTTCTGTGATGTTCAATGCTGTTGGCAGCTCCATGCAACGTGTTTTATGAAGGCTCAGAGCTGCTGGTGCCGCCACCTCCCCTGCAGCTTGTGGCTGTGGGGCAGGTCCAGGTCTGTGCCCAGGCTGCGAGGCTGCAGGGGAGAGGGGCCTCGCCGCTGCGCACGCGCTCATCGGGGCAGCGGCAAATCCCGGCCTTGCACTGCTGGCCTATCATTCGATACAAAGAGCCCACCCGGGGGCCTCGGCTCAATGTAAAATCATTTTCTGTGAAAGCAAGCAATAGGGCAGCGTGTCCTTGCAAAGAATTGGGAGGGCTTTTAGGAGATATTTCTTAGAAAATGTTAATTACACAACATTTTGGGATTTCTTAGGTTTGTGTTCCACTTGCTTGAGTCTTCAAAAGCTAGGCCTGGGTTTTGGCATGCTGTGCAAATCCTGCAGTGTGTTTGCACTCATTCTCAGCTGTTTGGAGCTGGTATTGAGGCCTCTCCCCGGCTGGAATTTTCCTTGCTCTGTGAACAGAACCAACTCGCAGCTGTAATTGACAGCTCAGTCGCCCACGATCAGGAGTATTTGTCTGCTTGACTTCTATAGATTGCAGTTTCTTGGCTCGTATAGACTGTAGTTTCTTGATTGTCATAGTCCTTTGTGGTTTCACAACCATTCTGAAGACGAGTAGAACTGCAAAGATCCGTGCTCAGCTTCTCTCCAGGTTTTCTCCTAGTGTTTCATTCCCAAATACATCGTTTTGCTCTAGTTCTAGACATTTTCCCTTTTAGATTTGCCAAGAGAAATATTTTTGTGAATGGTTCCGTCACAATCAAAGTCAGGCTTTCCTGACAAGGCAGCCCGTGTATCGTGTTTGTGTTTGAGGTGCAGACCAGATCGGTGTGAACCGGAACGTCTGCAGGGGACTTCCAAGATCTGAAGACTTGGCCATTGTCTATTGTCTTACAAATGTTATGTCTGGTGAAGCATTCCCCTGAGCCACAGTCAGACTGAGCACTACACAGTGTAGCTTATACGTCTTTTGACTGCAAAGTTTATGATTTCTGTTCTCACCACTGCTAATAAAGGAGATGACGAGTTCCTTCCATATATCACCATTAGTCTTTTGCTTTCTCTCCAAGACATTTCAGAAACAAATGATGAAAGCTTCATAACAGAAAAAAAATGCCAAACTCCTGATAAATCTTTTCTTATCCTGCACGTCTTTGGCATTAAATTACCAACCCAATTATTTTTGAACTAAGTGAACAGCACGTTAGCAAACGGTGAATATTTTATCCATGCCTTAGTATGTGTCAAGTTTACTTGACATTGAGGAGGTTGAGAGGTAGAACAACTCCTCTTCTGTGGGGCTTATACCACAGTGGTGATTGGAGGAAATATTTAGAGTTCCTGTGCCATGAAGTATTGCCAGCTCTTGCTCCCTGGCAGTAACTGAATCCCCATGTAAGAAACTGAGTGGTGAAAGCAGCGAATGAAAAGTCGTCTCCTGTTTTGATGGCTCCACCATTGCTTTTCCATGAGAATATTGAATTACGCAAGATCTTGGCGTTGCCGTGTTGTTCTTATCTTGAAGACACCAATGATTGGTTCTGTTTCAACTGGTTTCTTTACAGGAAAGGAAGAAAAAGTTTGAGAAGGATGGTGAGAAGTTTTATTCCATGCTGGATCGCCATTTGCACTTGTCCTCTAAGAAGAAGGAATCCCAACTGCAGGAGGTGTGTATGGAGTTTTCTTCAGACGGGTCCAGAAGCAGCAAAACTGGCTGCTTTAGTTTAAAAAACAAGCAGGGAAAGTCATCCTCTTCAGCAACAAGTTGGAATCAGCAGGCAGTTACTGCTGCCTGAAGCCTGCTCTCATCCGCACCGTGTGGGCCAGTGACCGCGTTCACCAGCGCTAGCGCCAGGGCTGGCCGTGCTGAGAACTGACGTGCAGAAGGGATCGTGTGGAGCAGGTGGTGGTTGTTGCTGGGCGGCACAGGTCCCTGCGTGGCTCCCAGCGTGGGAGCAGGAAGGTGCCCTTTGAGCTGACGCTGCCTCTCAACATCCTAGGCAAAGGAGAGTCCGGGCCATTCAAACCACGTCGGGGGGAGCAGATCAAAGCACCCCTATCAGATCAGCTGTCGGATGGGGTTAGAAATGTCTTTACAGGCAAAGTTTGCATAGCCTTTGTAGTGCTGAACGCACGCTTTCCTGCCTAGTCATGCGGATCTGGAAATGCTGGTGTCAGGTCATGATAGGGTCACAGAGCTGAGAAAAGTGGTCGGTATTTCTTTTTGTTCTCTGTGGGAGTTCAAAACCTGTGATGGACAGACTGGGCAGGCCTTTTCTGAAGTGAGGACAGAACTGTTTGGGGGTGGCAGACAAGATGCTCCTCAACTATTGTCAAGCTGGATGTGGTGTTTTTTTCACCTGTCCCTTCTTTTTCCAGGCTGACCTCCAGGTTGACAAAGAGAGACACAATTTCTTTGAGTCCTCCCTTGAGTATGTGTACCAGATCCAGGAAGTACAAGAAAGCAAGAAATTCAGTATTGTTGAGCCGGTAGGCGCTCCTTTCCTTTCAGTTCTTGTTGCTGTGCACCCGGACACTCTGACCTGCTGACAGTAGCAGGAAGGGCTGAGTTACCCACTCCGATTGAGTCCCGAGGAGGATTCTCAAGTTCCCCTGAAGCAGCAGCCACCCTCGCACACCTGCATTGCTGCCACCCGCGCAGCCCTTAGTGGTGCCTTGTGCAGCACCACCAAGTCGCAGACTTGCTCCTCGCCTGTGTGAGTGGCGCAGAGAAGCAGAGACGGAGCCTGTGGAGGTGTGTGCTGTGCAGCATCACACGAGGTTGGTGCCCGGAGCAAGAGGAGCTCCTGGATGAGCCACCCACATCTGCCTCGCTGCCCCCTCCCCGTTTTGCTGAGGCAGATGGTGCATCTGTGGGAGACAGACCACAGCCTTCTATGGGGCATTATGAGCAATAAGTCATGTAAAACTCATATCACTCACCTCCAAAGTTGTAGGAGAAAAAGTAGTTTTATATGTAGCTTTTGAAACCCTGCTTCACCCCTATCTTTTTTTCTGCTTATAAATTTAGAAGAGTTTACCTTTTCCCTTCTTTGCAGGTGTTGGCTTTTCTCCACAGCCTCTTTACATATAACAACCTGACAGTTGAACTCACACAGGATTTCCTTCCCTACAAACAGCAGCTTCAGCTCAGCCTGCAGAATGTAAGTTCCTGCTCAGCTCAAAGCTTTTTCTTTTCCATGCAATTTCTATTCTCACTTGTATTGAAAATGCCTCTGGTGGAAACACATTTCTGGGGAAAATGGTTTGATCGTGTCTGTTGTGGGAGATAGACAGGAAGTTATCCTTTTCTTAAGTTGCACATGCATCTTCTTTCTCCTGCAGAGGAGGGACTGCAGGTGCACTAGAATGTTCTTCAGAAACCAGAGTGCAGCCAGAAGGGGCTGGAAGGACCGCCTTGTTTAACCTTGTGCATAAACTAGCGTGCATATTTCTTCCAATAGTCTTCTGTTACATTTTCACATGGTTGAAATTTTATATGACTTTGAAAAAGGTATCCAAACTTGATGTGAACAATATCGGCTTACAGCAGCTTTGGTAAGCTGTTCTGCTGGCCGCGTATACTCATGGGATAAGAAAACAGACTTGTTTTGTCCTTTTTTCTTTTCTTTTCTTTTTTTTTTTTTTTTTTTTACCCTTCAGTATCTTTCAAGGCTGGCCTTCATGGCCTTCATTTCTGTGGAGCAGCAGATATAAATCAGTTCCAAGCCAAGTTTGCTGCTGACTCACTAACTGCTCAAAGTTGTATTCTATAAAAATGCCTTGACTTTGACTTTGTACTATGTGTTGACGTGACTGATAAAAAAAAAAATTATTCCATGCCAATCATTGTGACATGATTCTTGGAGGACTTGATGCCTCAAGTATGTAGAATACACCTATTATCTAAATAATAATGCAAACAGGAATTCAGGTGTTTCCTCCTCCACCTTGCCTTAAAGTGTAAATATTTCTGCTATTTAAGGAACAAAGATCTCTTCCTTGTCATGAGTCCTCAACGTTTCTGTGTACAGTATGTTAAATCTTGTCTCTTCAGTGATTTTCAAGAGCCTGGTTTTCTTATAGCTTGAATTTTCATGTCAGATTTTGTGCCCTGGGGATGATGCATTTTTGCCAGAGCTCCTAAAGTTTGAGGCAGAACTTTTGGCTAGGAATATTCAAAGTTCACCCTTTGCTCATGTTCAGTTGTGCTTCGTTTTCTCTCTTGCCAGACAAGGAATCACTTTTCCAGCACAAGAGAAGAGTTGGAAGACCTGAAGAAAAGGATGAAGGAAGCCCCTCTAACCTGCAAGCTCCCTGGGCAGCCAACCATAGAGGGCTACCTCTACACCCAAGAGAAATGTAATGGCTCTTGCATGCGCTGAGCGGGTTGCAGAAGTCAGGCCTCAGCTGTAGGGGTGCGGAGCCCACGAGCCCCGCTCAGGCCTGGGCTGCTGTTCAGCTTCTCATGAGGTGATGGTGGCTTCCAGGGCAGGGCAGCCCTCCAGGCGCGGGGGCCAAGAATTCTGGAGCTTGTGTGAGCCGCATAAGCAAGGAGGAGCTGCCCTGTCTTTGAATTGGAGGGGATTTAGTGCCCTGTTTTAGAGATGGAGAGACCAGGGCGCAGACGGCTTGCACAGCAAATCTGCTGTCCTGCCCAGTGCTTCTCTTTTATAAGGCTCCATTTTCAGCCCACCTCTGTGTACACAGTTCCTAGGACTGCAGTGCTGATGCTTGTACTTCTTGCTTCATCCAGTGCCAGGAGTTTCCTTCAGGATGAAGTGCTGGGTGCCAACTCTTCCCCAGCTGTTCATTTCTGTGCAGCTAGTTCACTTCTGGTTAAAAGCACCTTTTGTCCAGCAAGTCGGTGCTCCCGACGCTGGTTTTGGAGAGGGACTGTGGGTGTTCAGTCCCTGTGTTCAGTCCAGGTGTCCTTTCTCCCCACTTTGGCAACGATGACTAAGTGTTGGTATCTGAGATTGTCCAAGTAAATAAGTTTTATATTAGAAAGATTCCAGGAGTGGATGTCCATGGCTGGCCCAGAGGAAAAAAGACTAAGTGTATCTTGTCTGGTGGGGTCAGCTATCTCAAGTCATGATCTAGAGAACTGGAGTTTAGCTCTGAAAACCTCCTCAGGCCCAAATAAGTCCGAGAAGCTGCTCTTTGTCCTCCTGTCACACCGTGGCATTTTGTGTCCTGTAAGTGATGGTTCCTGTGCTCCTGCTCCCCATGGCCGGGAGCTGTTAGAGCTGTCGCGTGAAGCTCAGCATCTTCCTGCCCTTCCTTCTAATCGATGCTGCTCCTCCCCGGCGTCCCTTGCACTTTGCCACGTGCAGCACCGGCAGCTCATTCTCCTGCCGACTTCATAGCTTGGCAAGGAGGAGTGTTCTTTACATTATTTGGTCATTGCTTCCACATCTTCTGTCCTGCCTGTCTCTCAGCAGCAGCTCCATCGTGCAGAGTCTCCGATGCCCTGTGCACGTCAAGCCGGGTTTCAGCCCGGTTACTGCTGGCAGCTGGGGGATGGCGAAGCCGTGAGGCTCTGTGCTGGCTCCAACGGGTCAAATTCAGTCTCCCACAAATACTGTCTGCAGTTTGACGTGGCCACGTGAACGTGCCTGTTCACGTGCAGACAAAAGCCTGTCAGAGGATAAAGCTAGACAACTTTGAGCAGTTAATATTTGGATTATATATGCCTATGTTTGTATACATATATTTGTGTGTCCGTTTATCTTATGTTTACATGGAAAACACACATTGCAGTAATTCTAGATTACAAATGAATGCTGCGTGTTCCTGCACGCTAATGACTGTATTTCCTGCCTTTAGTTAGGTTTCCTCTGTGAATCAGTAAGGAAAAGAATTATTGCTGACAAGCGCAACTTGAAAAAAATTACCCCGCAGTTATCAGCTGCAGTAATTCATACAATGTGTTTCAGATAAGACAACAAAGAAAAGTGCAAATAAATCTTAGTGTGATATAAATATGCACTTTAGGGTGTATTAAAGATGCTGTTGTCTTTGCTGCCAAGTTTTCATGAGGGGAAGAGCTGGTGGCCTCCCTGGAAAGAGCCGTTGCGGCGCGGGGCCCTGCTGCCGTGTTTCCCGGCCACGCGGCCTGGCTGCCGCCCAGGCTCCCACCGCAGCCTCCCCCGTGGGGCTGCTGCCCCTGGGCAGGGCCGCAGCAGGGCTGGGGACGTCCTGCTGCAGGGGACACTGCTGCTTATGGTGGCTCCCAGCGAGGTCCCCGTCAGGACCAGGACACCCCCGTTCAGCGCCGCACAACCCCGCAGGCAGATGCAGCCCCCGTTTCGCCCGCTCTGCTCAGACTAATGCTCTGTCTCTGTTGACTCCAGCTTTCCTTGTGTTCCTGCAGGGGCACTGGGCATCTCCTGGGTGAAATATTACTGCCAATATGAAAAAGAGGCAAAAACGCTGCGGATGACCCCCATGGACCAGAAGCCTGGAGCTAAGCAAGTGAGTTGGTCTCGTGGAGGGATGTTTACAAAGGTTGACCCTGTCATCAGTTTTCAAGCTCGTTCATTATGTTTTTCTCCTCATATAAGCACATCAAGTGCAAATATCACATCCGCAGCACGTGTAGGGCCCTCCCACTGTAGGGAAGCACAGTTGGAGCAGCCCTGGCTGGTGAAGAGTATCGCTGGTGACACGAGTGCCACGCTGGCAGCTGTGGGTGCAGGAGGGCAGGAGCAGACACATGGGTTTGTGTCCTGGTCTCGTGGTGCCTTGTGGCCATGGTCTTTGTGTGAGGAAAGGGCCTCGTCTCTCCCGGCTCCCCAGCAGCTGAAGTTCTGCTGGACCTGCCAGCGGGGATTCAGCGACTGCCCTTGGCCGCGCTCGGGCCGGCTCGTTTGACACGAGGGCATGTGAATTATCTAACGAAGTTCTGGCTCGAGACCAGCTAACCTGCATGGTGTTCCCTGCAAACGAGCGTGACCCTGCAGCCAGATTTACACGTGTGATCACTCCGGGAGTAGTTGTGAGGATTGGGATGCCTGGAGTTGCTTAAACACTTTCATTAGTGTCCTTGCCTGTTCCTGCAGTCTCTGGTTTGGGATTTTGATTTCAGCTCTTCAGAATTATTTACTTGTAAGAGGGAGCAGTGTTAGCAGAGGAGGAGAGGGAAGAGGTTGCAGCTCTAAAATGTGCCGTAAAGCAACGATTTGGGGACCCATTTCCTTTACCAAGTGCTTTGTTTTTTTACAGTAAGTGATTTATCTGAGAGTTCCTATTGTTCCTCAGTTTAATGGAAGAGGGGCAGGATAGAGGGTTAGATGACAGACCGTGGCTCAGAATGCAGCGAGCAAGTCCAGCTGAGTCCACCCGTCCTCATCTCTGCCATGGAGCGACATCCCCTGGGGACTTCCAAGTCATGCATGCTCTTTTCCAATTGGTGATCTCATGATCTGTGTTCTTTGGCAGCTCCTGCACATTGCAGCAATAAAACAAAATGTATTTTTTGGAAGCCCTTGGCAGAGTCCTTGGCAGAGCAGTATCCAGAGCATTGACTAGAAACATCTATTGTCATCTACTTTGTAAAGTTTTCTAGTAAAACACAGGAATGCAGGTAGGGCCTTGTAAAAATATAAGTCAGTATCTTTCTGAAACTCTTGCAATCTGATAATGTGCATCTTCAGGCCACAGATGGCCATGCAGCTTCGAATGTAACAACTATAAAGAGTGCTCTTAAGGAGGAAAAAAAGAAAAATAAGGGCACGGCAGCCAGGAAATCGTCAGCACAGGGCGCAGGTTGGACACGGTCTCGGCGGAGGCTGCGGTGCCGGGAGCCCCTTGCAGGGCTCTGCAGCACCGAGGCCGCCCGGGTGCTCAGGGTGCTGCGCGCGGGGCTGTGGCCTGGCTGCTCCGTGGACTCTCCTGCAGTGGCCCTTCAGTCTCGGCGAGGCAGTGGAGAGCTTAAAACCAGGTTGTAAATTAGCTGCTGTTCATCTTTGCTGTAAGATAAAGGGCCGTTAAAACATAGGGCCAAACCTCAGCTGTGCAGTATGGGCACATTGTCAGCATATACATCCTCTGGCCGTGGTCAATTAACATTCTGCTTGACAAGGTTTCGGCCATGAATGCTCTGGATAATTGGTAGCACTGATGAACCCCAATAAAATTAGGACCCTGCTATGCTGTATGAGAGACGAACACAATCCTGGCCCCTGGTCACAGAGAATAAGTGATTTCCAAAGGTTGTTTTGAAGCAGTCTTCCTGCTCTGGTAGCACATTGCTTGTTGCTGAGATATTTAGCACTTGTTTGCAGGGTAATCCCATGAAATCTAGAACATTTGGTTACTGTGGAGAGGAAGCCTGGTCTATAAGGCCTTTCATCCTCTGTCTTAGTTGCAGCTTAGCTGGGCACTGAGAAGGACCATCTGTGGTCTCCCTGCAAATGCCATCTGATTAGCAGGGCACGCTGAGAGCACACGCTCGTGGCCAAGGCCTCCGCATGGGGCCCTGCTTGTTGGCAGCCTGAGGGTGCTGAGAGACATTAAACCAGCTTTCACCTTTCCTCCCTCTAATCTTGGTTTTAATCTTTTTGTTTTCTAGGGCACTTTAGACTTGACACTGAAATCCTGTGTAAGGAGAAAGACTGATTCGATAGACAAAAGGTTTTGTTTTGACATTGAAACTAATGAAAGGTGAGTCTGGAGAGTAACTGCATTTTGGCTGCAGGACGGTAGCAACATAAGGGTGTCCTAGGATGAGATCCTGCTCGTGACATCTACCTTTAGACATTTCCCTGTGTTAGACTTTCACCTTAGCATATCACATTTTGAAGTGCCCTTTTCTCTCCATGAAATACGAGTAGACCATCGTGCTCAGGGGAATGAGTGTTTGCGCGTACGGGTCAGTCTGGCTATGGGGATCCGAGCAAGGGACGTTTGCAGTGAGTGGCCAGCAAGCCCTGCTGCACGGGCAGCGGAGTTAGCTGAGGGTGCTAGGAGGCCTCTCTGCCCGGGTGTTTCATGCTGCCTTTCTGTCCTGGGAACGCAGCAATGGCCTCCATGGGGCATGGAGGCACTTGCAGTACCGTGGCTGGCACTGGGTGGCATCCTTGGCCACAGATCTATAACCTTGCGTGTGTGTGCGTGTGTGTACATGGATAACTGTGGGGAAAGGTTCTCCCGCTGGGTTAGTTTTGCCTTCCAGACTAGCAGTCTGATTCTGTTCCCACTGAGTTTGGTGTTTTAGCTATTATGGGAGAGAGTAAGAGTCATAAGAGAATGAATATCCTTAAATATGTGCACTGTGAAAGCCTTGCTGTGTGCTGAAATCCTGGAAAAGTAGCAGGAGATATATTGTGGGTAATCAGACCCAGTTACCAGCCCACACAAATATTGTGTGGTCTCTCACTGCCTTGGAGACCCCACTGACTTCTGCAGTTTATCCTGTACCTTCCCCTTTCTTTCCTGTACCTGATTTTCTTATGCTAGTCTATGATTTGATGTTACGGTATTTTTTACTGTGGACTAGCATTATAATCATCTTGGATTTATGAAAGTTATCTCTAAGCACTAGAAGTGGGATAGACTCAGAAGTAAGTTTCAGCACTAAGGGCGTGATGAATTTGCAGAGTTTTGAATTATGTAACCATGCATCAGAACACAGCTTGCGCAGAGGCTTAGCGAGGCTTGTCTGTGTAAGACCCGTGGCAGAAAGAGAAGGCTTAGCCCCCTAATGCAACCCGGGAGCCCCCCAGACAGTAGCAGGGGTCGCCGGGAGGTGTGTGCTAGCCCCGCACGGTGATATCCCCATGGATTGCACTGAACACGCAGCTTGGATCCCTGGCCAGGTGCTTTCCTCCAGGCGAGATCAGGTGGCAGCACCAGTGCAGGGAACAAAAAGGTGTTGACTTGGAGCTCATGAGCACGGGGCAGTGTTCATTATAACCCCTGCCTTGGCTTTCTTGTGTCAGCCCTTTTTCTTACTCTGTTAGGTGCCCTTACTTGCTGCTGGGGTCCCCGGTCTGCAAATAAAGCAGCAGGGCCAGGTCTGTTCATTGCTCTCTGCCTCTTTAAAAATAACCTTTGCTTTATTTTCCTCTCTCGCCCCGGACAAACCTGCGTAGATCCGGTACCATCACCCTGCAGGCACTTTCTGAAGCTAATCGAAGGCTGTGGATGGAAGCGATGGATGGAAAAGAGCCAGTAAGTGCACAGGATGTGTTGCACGCTTAAGTTGTGCTGCCACACACTGTCCTCTGCTGGTGGCTTTTGACAAACGTGAATAATAACAATAATAATAACTATACAACCACTGCTAGGCTCGTTTTTGCAGTTTCCCCTTCACTGCTACTGCTTACCGGAGTTCAGGGCATTGCTTCAGCTGCCAGGCATCAGAAAGCTGCACCTCGGGCCTGTCCATTTTTAAGCTTTGGTCCATTTGCCGAGTCGTAGTGACGATGACTGCGGATTTCCTACGAGCCATGCGGGCAGCGGGTGCCCAGGGCCGCCTCTGCGGAGCAGCGGATGGTGCTGCCGGCCGCTCGGGGACGGGGGCCCTGTGGTGGCAGTGAGCGTGGGGAGGGAGGCAGCAGTGTCCAGCTGCAGAGACGGTCGCCTCGGGAGCGTCTGCGCTTGCATCAGCTGTTTTTATCCATGGAGAACTTGGATATTTCAGTCTAGAGTGGCACTCCCCATTATAGTTACTAAAAGAACAAGAAGCATTTGTAGCTTTGGGTGGGGAAGGTTTTTTGACGTTTTGCAGGCCTGGCTGACCCCCTTCCAGCTGCCATTTTCACAGGGCGCCTATAAAACTATCAGAGGCTCTTGTTTAGCTTTTGGAAGAGCCCTTTGCTGGAAGCAGGTACTCCAGTTAAAGTTGGGAAGCCCGCAGCCTCATTAGCTGTGCAGACAACGATACCTTGTTGATAGTAGAAGCTGGCTGTTGCTTTACTCACTGTGTGTGACTAGCGTTGGGTGATTTGTGAGGTGCTGTATTTTCTTTAGAAAGTAAATATCAAATCACTTTATGTTTTTGTTCCTTCCTTCCCTTTTTTTCAGATCTATCACAGTCCCATCACGAAGCAGGAGGAAAGTGAGTCCTTTAAGTTTGTGTTGCTCTAATCTGTTGAAGCCGTTCTGAACATGAACCCTCGTCCCTGGGCTCCGCTCTGTGGGGCGGACAGGGCTGCAGACACCCCTGGGACCTCGTGCGTGTCCTGGGAGCGCCAGCTGGGCTGCGGAAAGGGAGCTCGGCGCCTTGCAGGGGTGACCTGTAGCTGCCTGGCAGGGACGAGCTGCTCGGGCAGGCCTGGGAGACCTTGGCCTAAAATCTCCCTCCTAAACGTCTAGGAAAAAGTTGGTCATGGCTTTTAAAGTCAGGTCCCTTGAGGTTAAGGTCCTTGCAGGTCCTTCTTGAACAAGGACTCGTGGTGACAAGGCAACTTGTTTTTTATTGCAGCCTCTGATACTGAGGCCAGATAAGAAGCTGTGGAAGTCACTGATGGTTACGAGCAGCTCTTAGGCAGCGAAAAGCAGGCAAATGTAAAGTTGAGTTTTCAGCCAAACCCCAAAATAGCAAAGCGGAAACAGATCAAGTGATTCTGAGGACACTTTGCCTATCAAACAGTAAAATAAAGAGGGAGAGTTGGCGTTTGGTTCCCAGAGCTCCCAGTCCCACCCCACTGCACCCCGTCTGCTCCCCGGGTGGACAAACACCCCGCGCTGCCCCGTTGCCGTCCCGCGCCTGCGGGATCCGAGCAGGGGCCAGAACCATGCGCACGGGATTGCCAGGCCAGCCAGGCTAATTAGCGGCCTTTAATTAGCACACGGGCACCATTGCCAATGCACAAGCCTCCAAACCGCTCCGAAGTGTTATCTGGCTGTGTTTGTATTACGTGCCTGGAAAGAATGTGACTAAACATTTCTCGAAGGTAAACGCGCTCTACTTTTAATAGATTAGACCTGGAAAGACTTCAAGTCACATTATACAAGTCAGTGTCAAGTATCAAGTGGATCTCTTCTCGAAGTTGTCTTTGCCTATTCCTATTTTAAAGCCAGGTAATGTTTGAGCTTTCAGTCCCTGTTGTGCAGAGGAGAGAGAGCCTTTATAAATGACTGGCAGAACATGCGATTTGGTGAGGTTAGCAAGCCAGCCTCTGTGGTGACAGGGACGAGCTCTGGATGTTTCTTCCAGTAAAATGTTCATTTATTTTTTTTTTTTTTAAATAGAAACAAATACTGAGTTTTCCGCAGGAATTTTTAAAATAAAAATGTTACTGTGTTTTTAAGGCAGAGGAAAAAAGAACGATACTACGGTCTGAATTTAGGGAACGCTTTATATTCATTACAAAATGTTAACTCAAAGTCAACATTTTCAGCCAAAATTCAATTTGAAATCCAAATAAAGGAGTACTGACATATGAACCACAAAGGTTTCTATGCAACATTTTCAACTAACATTTCATATTCTAGTAAAATGTTTTCCTAGTCAACTAGATTACACAAATAAAGAGTCTTTGGAAATGTCAGTCCCTTAATCTCAACTGAAGGCCACTGTGAATAAAAAGATTGTAGAGATATATTCCTCTGTGAAATAAAAATATATTTAGCATTGTCATTTAGGAGAAGTTTAATATAAATATTTTCAGTGGAGTGGAAGTTACTTCACAATATAGGTTACATCTGTAAATTGCAGGGCAATCCTTTACCATCCCAGATCCTGCAATAGTTTGTTCCAGGTACCTGGAAGAATCATGAGGAAAAAGCAGTATGAGCAAAGAAGTTGCAGTGCTCCAAACCACAGACCCCGACTTTCTGCCTACTTGATGGTGCTTCTAGGACAGGCACAGCCGTAGTCTGCAGTTAATTAGCTGGAAAAAAAACTCTGTTCTGCTGTGTTTGTACAGCCTATACAGCTGTGTTTTTTACTTTCTTAATCTTGTCAAGTAGATAAGTAGAAATTATATGAACCTGTGATGTGGAAGATCTCTAAGTTTCCAGAGACTGCAGATTTTGCAGTCTCTGGAAATGATTAATTAATTCCTTATCACACACAAATTCCCATGTGACTAAACTCTGATTTCCATTTTCTTTTATAAAACACACAAGGGGGCAGGGAGCCCATAACTCAAATCAAATTCAAGCAAAACCAGTGAGCATATGGAACTTAATAATTCCTTATTGTGCACTTGAAGCGCGTGTGTTCGCTCGCGCCGCGTGCCCGGCGTGTGCGGGCGGCCCCGCGGGGTCTGCACCAGGAGCTGCTCGTGCTAACGCTGCCCGCTTCCTTTGAACAGTGGAGCTGAACGAGGTGGGCTTCAAGTTCGTGAGGAAGTGCATCAACGCGGTGGAAACGAAAGGTAAGCAGCGGTGGCACCACAAATCCCTGCTTCCTGGCACGTGTTCCTCCCAACAGCCCGGGTTCACGCTGTATTGCACTAACACAGCAGTGTTAGTTGACAGTCAGAGCCTCGTTTCGTTGCCTGCAGAATGCGTGTCCAAAGACAGAAGCTACCAGCTGTTCAGAATATTTGCTGTGAGACCAAGGCTAGAATCTTCCCTTGTGTGCTGTTCTCGCTCAGCAGTGTTTCATCTTTGGCTTAGGAAGAGACCTCGTTGTTAGGCAGGTGAACAGGTTTTGAAATGCTTTCTGTGATGGAGGAAGAGGCAGAGATTGACTTAAGAAAAAAACTATCCAGACCCCTTTAGTGAAAAACACCAGATAAAAGCAGGGGTGTGGATGGTACCTCACCATTCCGGCTTCTCCACGAGGTGTCCAGCTGGTGCCAGCTGTGTCGTCTGTATGGGCCATGAGGTAAAGAAAAGCAGCTCTGTAACATCTGAGTGTCTCAGGAAAAAGAGAAAGTGCTTTAAGCTCTTCAGAGATAGAGCCACCCCCTGCCACTGAAATGGAGGGGAGCAGACTAATGAGATCCTTCACCCGGCAGAGACTGAGCTGGGCAGATAAAGCAGTTCAGCTTTTCCTAACATTTGTAAATATTTTCAAAGAAACTGCTCTAATGTATTTGTTTTCTGTTGTGATTTGAAAAAAAAAATCATTTTAAAGCAGTAGCATTTCCAGATATGGAATATTTAAGTGGATATTGCCTGTCAGCTCTGACACATATTCCACATGTTGGCCATAACTGCCCAACAGTGACACAATTTAGCCAAAAGTGCATTTCAAAGTAGTGGTTGTGAATGGTCAGCCCTTAATGTTAGCCGTTCTGTGGTTTTATCCAGAGTAAAACTTCTATCTTAATAATTGCATTTAGATTACTGAACGGTTGCCACTGATTGCCATTTATTAGCAGAATAACTTGCAGATGTTATTTGAAGAATAAACCTGCCCAATAGTTTTATTCAGAGTCGCATGATGTGTTGAGAGGCAGAATTTTAGGCTATTTGGATTCTGAATAAGTCAGTGCTTCCTATATTGGAGATACTTGCAGCAAGTACTTTGACCCGTGTGAAATTTCTCAATGAATAGTATTGCTCCTCTAGATGGAGCTTTCGAACTTCCAATAAACTTGAGCAAACAGATGGCTAACGCTTGTTTTGGCTTTGTTGTGCACAGGGATCACTACAGAGGGTATCTACCGAACTGTTGGCAGCAATATTCAGGTGCAGAAGTTGCTGAATGCCTTTTTTGGTAAGAATGAATTATCCTGTGTGACTAGATTGTGTTATTTTTGTTTTTCAAGAAGGACGAAGAGGATCAGATTTCAAAATAAGGTGAATGTGTCGGGTGCAGAGTTCCTTCAGGCTGCTGCTCATCTCTAGCTTGAGGGACACTGGCCCTTCTTTTCTGAGTTCCTTCTGCAACCTGCCCTTTTTTATTTCTCTTTAAGCCACATTTGTTGCTTGCATTTTAAGTTAGGTGAGAAGTTTTGACAGAAAGGAAAGCAAAGACACTAGAGCAGTGTAGAGAAGCCTTTTCCCATCATGTGCTAAAAATACCTAGGCATTTTGGAGTCATGTGCTGGGGCCATGCTCCTGGCACGGGCCCCTCGCATGGGACATCCGCCAAGGAGACATGAGCCCTTACCCACTCACAGGCCCTTATTTTGTGCTCTCACAGCAAGCCCTGCAGCTCCCAGACCTTTGAGACTGGGCTTGGAGACCTGGAGACAGGCTGCACTCTGCTGCCGAGGGGCAGGAGTTCCTAGTGAAGGAAGGGCAGGAGGAGATGTCCCATGGATGACAGCACTGCTTGCTAGTTCTGGCTTACATGTCACGTATTTGTCATGATTGCCCAACAATTGAGCCAGATTTATTGCTGATGTTGCTCTCTCTACTCCTTGTCCTCCGTAGAACCATACGCCCTGTTTTTTATTTAGACAGTGCAAACAAGGACCTGATAGGAAGGCCAGTGCCGAGCGCTGCTCGTTCTGCGGAGCCGGCATGAGACGGGCTGGTGTCCTGATGTGCTCCCACCAGGAGCCTGCCTGCCTGGTGACGTTCATGGGAAGATACGTTTTTCCCACCGGTCCTTTCCTCTTACGTCAGCGCACACGAATACGTTGAGGAGAACCCTTTCCTTCTTGGGTTATCCTGGAGAGGTTTACTAGGAAACTGCCCTTGGGGATGATGTGCCGTGACCCCAGCACAAGGGCTGCACCTCAGAAAGGCAGGGACGCCTTGCTGATGAGTTGAGTTCAGTCTTCATAAATGTCAAATGTATGTTTTGACGTGAATGTCAGAAATCCTAAACAGACAGATAGTTGTGAAGGCTTAAGAGGACTGGAAGTGGCAGAAATGGAGAATAACCGATACGTCTGTCTCCAGGATGCATCCATAACATTTGTAGTTGTGTATCCATCCAGCATTGGCTCCTAATCTCATACCAGAATTAGAAAGAAATGGCAAATGGACTTTCAGAGAGTATTCTGGCACTGTCTGTTCTGACGCGGCCGTTCCGTGTTGTTTCTGTTTGGGATGTGGCTGCTGCCGGCCTCTCAGGAGCCGTGCAGGAGAGTGCGGCGACCAGCGCCCCCGGGCCGGGCTGGGGCAGCGAGGCCGCGAGCAGCAGGGCACCGTGCGGACAGGGGCCACAAGCAGCAGGGCACCGCGTGGACAGGGGCCACGAGCAGCAGGGCACCACACGG